AATGGATGGATTAATTTGGCCTCCTGTCTCCATAGGGCTATAGAAGACCAAACTTCAAAGAGCTTGCCACAGATCAGGCACGCTACCAACGCTGGCTGCTGAAGAACGAGACCAAAGCCTTCTACACGCCAGTGTTTGCTGAGGACCTAAAACAAGGCTGTCAGTACTTGCTTCAGGTAGGAAAACTAAATTCTATTCAGAGTTGTGTGTTTGTTCTTAACTCTTTGCACAGAAGCATTGTTCAAGTACTTTTTTTTTTTTTTTTTGTGTTTGTTGGGCCGAGCCATCTATAGTAGAGGTTGGGGCATAATACTTGAACTGGTAAATGATGTTGTACATTATTGGTAAGTTTAACTAACTAATATTTCTGACAATGACTAGACCAGTCATGCAGATCCATGATTGAAACATTAACTATTATTCCCAAAATACAATGAAAAGAACACATGCTGTGACTCACACAGACGCTGTGACATAAATAGCAGTACTAACTGGAAGATAATTTTTAAAAGGCTGTCATTTCCTTAAACAAATGTGTTCCTGTGAATTATGGTGAGTTATGTAAAGTATATTGGGATCTACAGTATGTACAGAAATAACTGAAAATCTGGATAAACTATTAACACTCAAGAGCATAGCAACAAGTTATTAAGATTAAGACAGTGAGTTGAAGCTAATGATTATTTGATGCTAAAAAAAAAGAGATGTGGTGTTGCAGTAAAAGGCATAAAATTGCATAAGGTAGCCCAGGTGCATTACTGTAGTGAAAGTGAGACTGTGGTTATTTTCAGGACTGAGGAGTAAGGTGCCTGGAAGTAATTATTCACACATTATTTGCTATCGATAACCAACTTGAGAGTGGATAATATGAGTCTCCTTTAAGATTGGACCCATAACCCAAGTGAAAGGCTGAACACTGTATGGACTGAACTGTTTTTATTTCCTGCTCCACACTCATAGTTTTGCTTATTCTTTGGAAATGAGCCACATTTAAGAAATGATTAATCTGCGATTCCTGTTCCTGGTCCAATCAAGGCTGCTGGTCTTGGCCGCCTCAAGCCAAACACCCTTGTTCTGGGCTTCAAGAATGACTGGAGGGATGGGGACATGATGAATGTGGAGACTTACATCAGCATGATCCAGTAAGTAGAATAAGAGAAGAAAAGAATTATATAAAAGAAAAAACACTCTTCTTTTGACAAGTCTTCACTGTGTTCGATGGTACATCCGATGCTGTGGAAATTTTATACCCTCCTGCTTTGTAAGTGTTCTACAAACCGTGAATTTTTCTTTAGTACGCAACTCGGTAAATGTCAGGAAACTCCTACTAGGACAGCTGGATGTTACATAGGGCTAATCGGTCTCTGTAATTGTTGGCAGGTGTGTACAAAAGAATGCTGTGATTAAATCAAAAAGGTGCTTCAACAATTTTGTTGTTGACACTAATAAACTAATATTTCGTAGTTTAATGGTATGCACACACATGCAAACAGGTTATTGTACGTTTTATATTTTTCATATATTTCACCCTAACAGATTTATAAAATTTTCAGTGGTATAGGTTCTAGGTAACATAAAAGGGTACAATTGGTCCATGCTGGAAGCTGCCAAGTTCTCTCACCATATTTGAATTCAGTGGCTGGGAACAATGTCTCTCTTACAACATATCCTGTTTTGTGCATGTCGCCAAACTCTTAGTACCCCAAACGTGGAGGCCAAGAGAACTCAGCTGTCAGCAGGGCCATTAGAGCAGCTCGTTATAAGCTAACATTTTGCCAGGTAATTTTGGGCTCGAGTGTCGTAAAAATCACACTTTTCCTTAAACAGTTTGATTACACTTTCGCAGGGTACGATGGTTCATTCTTTAGGAATGTGAGTCCAGCAATGTTGGATCCACTTCAGAGAAAGTTTCACTAACACCCACTCACATTCTTGGCTGTTTGACCTCAGGAAATCACATGATAGGGTGGGGCTAGGTTTCACA